CTCACCCTCACACACACACACTCACACACACACACTCACACACACACACTCACACTCACACTCTCATATTCACATACTGACAGTAATATAAAGCGCTGATGATTCACACTGAATCTACAACATCTCAAGATCATTTATCTACATATGCAAATGAATCCAGACAGATAGCAGAAGTGTGTATTCTTTAAGCCTGAAAAGTGTGTTAAAATGGCCTTTGTTTAGTAGCTCAGGTATGCTGAGTGGAATGTCGAGTGACAGTCTGTATATCATCCTGCCTCATATTTTTCACCATTTTACCGATATAATCGATACACTAATCTAAAAAAGTTTGGAATGATTGAGGATATTTAAAAACGTTTTTGAAAGGAGATGCTGATTTGCTGCTCAAGAAACATTATTATTATTATTAATGTTGAAAATAGTTGTGCTGCCAAATTGTTTTTAAGGAAAACACTACCATTGAAAAGTTTGGGATAAATAAAGTTTTTAAAAAAAAGAAATTAATGCTTTTACTCATCAAGGATGCATTAAATTGATCAAAAGTGACAGTCAAGACATTTATAATGTTACAAAAGATTTCTATTTCAAATAAATGCTGTTCTTTTGAACTTTCTATTCATCTGTAAATCCTGAAAAATAAAATGTATCACATTGTATCTCATATTGTGCAGCACGACTGCCTTCTACATTGATAATAATCAGAAATGTTTCTTGAGCAGCAAATCAGCATATTAGAATGATTTCTGAAGATCATGTGACACTGAAGACTGGAGTAATGATGCTGAAAATACAGCTGCGCATCACAGAAATAAATTACAGTTTAACAGATATTCACACAGAAAACAGCTGTTTTACATTATAATAATATTTAGCAATTTTTACTGTATTTTTGATCAAACAAATGCAGCCCTGGTGAGCAGAAGAGACTTCTTTCAAAAACATTTTTAAAAAATACATTTTTCCAAACTTTTTCTCTCAAATAACTGAAACACTGGTAACACTTTAAGGACCAATTCTCACTATTAACTAGCATGCATATTACTAGCATATTGGCTTTTATTTTTACTTATTATTGGGTTTATGAGTACTTATAAAGCTCATGTTAATGCCTTATTCTGCATGAGCATATTTTAGATCCCTTAACTTAACAACTACCTTACTCACGATTAAAAAGGAGCACACAATAAAAGTGGATGTGCTTTATTCTCTCATGTGCCAAAAAAGACCAAAAAAAGATCCTTTTTATATTTAATAACATGAATCTAATAATTATGGAAGCTTATTTCCACTACAGAATCAAAAAATGATTTATAATAATAATAATAATTATAATAAATCGCAATTCTGAGTTTATATCTCACAAGTCTGACTCAGAAATGGCAAGTTTTTTTTTTTTTTTCTGTGGCTGAAAAACAAACAAACAAGTGTAAGAAAAAGTCAATTGCGATATAAACTCAGCTCTGAAAAGATAAATCTGAATTGTGAGATATAAACTCTATAACATATATATAACATCTTTGGCGTAAAAAAATAGAATTGCAAGATATAAACTTCTAAACAAATTCTAAGGGAAAAAAATTCTGAATTAAGTAAAAAGTACTTAAAATTGCAAGATATAAACTCACAATTCTGAGAAAATAAAAAAAAAACAATTGTGACATAAAAAGTTGCAGTAACCTTGTATTTTTTATGTTAGAGGAAGTAAAGAAAAAAGTAAGAATTGCGAAATTCAAACTCACAATTACAAGTTTATATCTTACAATTCCAAATTATAAAACAATTCTGAGAAGCAACATTCAAATCGTGAGAAAAATAGAATTTTGGGATAACAATTTCCTCTTTTTTTTTTTATTCCGTGGTGGAAAAAAAAAACAAAAAAACAAAAATGCAAGAAAAAAGTAAGAAATATTAGATCTAACTCACAATTACAAGTTTATAATTTACAAAAACTTCAAATTGGAAGACATAAACTTGCAACTGCAAGAGAAAATGTCAAAACTGTGAGATAAAAAGACACAACTACATTGTTTAGTAACTGCAAAAAAACTAAATTACAAAAAAAATACTATTTTAGAAGTGCACAACACTATTTATACACTCATACATTTCATCTAACACACATACTTAGTTTACATTCTGAATCTGCACATAATATACCTGTACATACAAAACTGTGAATTTGTATATTGTTATTCCCTAATGTTCTATTTTTATTCTTTTATTATCTGTGTTTTGTCCTGTCTCTGTCATTCTGTTGCACTCTGACGAAAACAAATTCCTGGTATGTGGAAATAAAGCTCATTCTGATTCTGAGATTGTTATTCTGTTGCAGAAAGCTTATTATGCTGCAACAGTCGTGATATGACGTCATGCTCTGCAGCGTCTTTTTAAAAACTTACATTCAACACATAAACAATAATAATACACCTACAATGTAAAAACATACAATCTACTCCACTTTCCTGCAGCGCTGCAGTTTTAGATTTATATTCTTTTATTTTTTTATATATATATTTTTTATTTATATTCTTTTAATTCAGAGAGGAGGTCGTGCTGTGCCGGTGTTCACACGGTGTCACGTGATGCGAATTCGAAAGTTTGAACTTTGGAACGCAGCGAAATGCGAAAACCTTTAGTTTCCGGTCTGACGCATTCGCATGCGCATGAATGGAATTGAATGGAACGAAGAGTGTAGTGTGATCGCAGTGTGAGAGCGCTGGTGAACTCACCTCGTCTGAAGACTGGCAGCGCCGGTCTCTCTCTCATCTTCCTCACCAGCTCCGACTGAGACCGAGCGACTGACTGCAAACGGGACACTTCACTGAGGATGCCCTGATACGACTCAACCATGGCCATCGTCCTAAACACAACACACATCGCTTTTACTAATAACACTCATCTTTATGCATTTTAAGTTGCACTGTAGTTAACATGATACAGCATGGTTGTGTCTATTTTTTTTGTTGTCATTTTCAAATGTCTATATAGTTTTTTTTGTTTGTTTTTATTTCAGTTTTAGTTATATACATATAAAGTATTTCAGAAATACACTAGCAGTCAAACATTTTTGAACAGTAAGATTTGTAATGTTTTTTAAAAGATGATTTTTCAGGTTTCTTTGATGAATAGAAAGTTCAGAAGAACAGCATTTATCTGAAATAGAAATCTTTCGTAACATTATACACTATAGTATTCAAAAGCGTAGACTTGGTATAATTTTTTTGGGGGGTGGGGGGGGTTATAGAAATTAACACTTTTATTTAGGAAGGATGCTTTAAATTGATTAAAAGTGATGATAAAGACATTTATAATGTTACAAAAAAATTCTATTTTCAGATAAATGCTGTTCTTCTGAACTTTCTATTTATCAAAGAAACCTGAAAAAATTCTACTCGGCTGTTTTCAACATTAATAATAATAATAAATGTTTCTTGAGCAGCAAATCAGCATATTAGAATGATTTCTGAAGATCATGTGACACTGAAGACTGGAGTAATGATGCTGAAAATACAGCTGCGCATCACAGAAATACATTACAGTTTAACAGATATTCACATAGAAAACTGTTTTTAAATAGTAGAATTATTTCAAAATTTTACCGTTTTTGCTGTATTTCAGATCAAATAAATGCAGGCTTGGTGAGCAGAAGAGACGTCTTTAAAAAACAAAAAATCTTACTGTTCAAAAACGTTTGATTGGTAGTGTATGTCTTCACTATAAAAATGCCTGGAAATATAAAAAGAAAGAAAAAAATTATATTTTTATAATTGAGAGAACCCTTCCCTTGATTTACATGGGTGAAAATGAGATATGTGTCCATTATTTGAATAATAAATATCATTTCATTGATCGTCTCATTTTTGTTACAATCCCCCCCTCTAGTGCACACTGGCAGCACTGCAAGCACCATAAAACAGGAAAAAATTCAGCGAAAATTAATATCATAAATACCTGACGTCTGTCAAAGCTTCATGAGACTGATCCTCATCAACTACACAGTTTTCACAAACAGCCTGTAACGAGAAGAACATCACGAGACACGCGTGATATTGTATTTAAATAATAAAATATATATAAAATTAAATAAAAAATAAATATTACATATATTATTTTAAACATAAATATAATCAATTTATTTACAATGTTATGCTTTAATTAAAATAAATAGTATTTATAAAAATGTAAAATAAATACATTTATTAAATATAACATATACATGTATATATATATTTACATTTACATTTAGTCATTTAGCAGATGCTTTTATCCAAAGCGACTTACAAATGAGGACAATAGAAGCAATCAGAATCAACAAAAGAGCAATGATATACAAGTGCTATAGCAAGTCTCAGTTAGCCTAATGCAGTACAGGTGTGTGTATATATATGTGTGTGTGTGTGTATGTGTGACCCTGGACCACAAAACCAGTCATAAGGGTCAATTTTTTAAAATTGAAATGTATACATCATCTGAAAGCTTAATAAATAGCTTTCCATTGATGTATGGTTTGTTAGGATAGGACAATATTTGGCCGAGATACAACTATTTGAAAATC